CTGCACTTTTTGCAGTTTGTTAGCCGCGATGCAAACTCCCACACACAATCACACCGGATAATTATCCGTCAAGTTCCTTGGGAGCTGTCGTCGACTGTTAAGCGCACAATGACCGCTGAGATGTGGCCAATCGATTCCCACCAATTGCAAAAGCAAAATTGACAGACTTATGGCGCCACAACCAAATTTCCTTTTTGTGGTATGTGATATGGCGAAGTCCGGGGACATCATGCTGTTTACTCAGCCCCGGAATACTCAGAGTTGCGATGATATGGGCCAACGCCAAGGGCACAATTGGGTGCCAGTACAACTCCACGACGACCTTCCAAGATGTCCGAGACTGTCTCGAGCGTGCGTTCCTTTATCTGGACTCCAACGTCATTCACAGCACTATTGAAGCATCAACGTCACAACTCCTGTAGCTTGATCGAGCTGTGGATATTGCTGGGCAAGAGGTGATAACGAGAACTGCACGGACGATTCATCATCATCAAACTTCTCCGGGACGAGCGACGTGGACGATTAGGTCTTGTCTCTCGATTGATTGATAGCTTGCAAAATGTTATAGCTATTAGATGTTGACAGATTCAAAAGTGTTGCTGCAATTTAAACAATTGTTGCCTCTGTAATATAGTTATTAGTTTTGAAGAGTAGCAGAAGTTCCCTCGATGCCCTCGCGGACTATTAATGCTTACCAGAGGTAGTAGTGATCAAGACGACGTAGCACTCGCAAAAGCTGCAAAGCAACATGTCCACAAGTTTGACTTCATGACGAGTGCTCCGACCGCCTCAAGTTGCTCAGCAAGGGTCTTCAACCGATTGATGTGTGCCAACATGTCGCTTCCTTCTTCCACGATCGTAGTGAAAAATTCCGGCGTAACTACAACTTGTTCAACAACGCTTTCATCGTATAAAGATCTTCAAGACTCTTTCACACTACAATCGTGTTCGTCGACTTGCGTTCAATGGACAACCTTGAGACATCGAGGCAAGTGCCTTCTTCCTTCTCTTGACAAACATCGCTCATGCAGCTTCGGCAGACTGATCTTCCCACTTCTCGCTTCCAATCGCGACATCCCAAAGGTCCTTCTCTGCCAGGATAGTCGATATCTTGAACTTTCACAAGTTGAGGTATCTTCGGTCTAACTTTTTGATGTTGAATATGGAGCTGGTAGCGTCGGCTAGGCTGAAAATGCCCTTGTAAGTAGTGATGGGAACTCTGCGACTTACATCAAAATGAAAAGTCATGTATTACTTGGGAAGTACTTAGTGATACGCTAATGATGAATATACAAGTCTTGCTATCCGAAGATCAACAAGCTCTTCAAACACTCGATTCGACCTGGTGTGAGCAGGCACCTTGACTTGTACCATCAGCACAAGGCAAATTTGTAGTCGTGAGATGATTTGCTCCATACTTGGATTGAAACGGATCGATCTTCGTGCGCAATACAGTTGTCGCAAGGTTTAAGGTTCGACTCCTCCGAGATTATGCTTAATTGGGATGCACAAATATTCTATGCTGCAGTTCAATTTTTCAGTGTATTTTTCTACCAAGGAAAAGTATTGAGTACCATGTGTTCTGCGCAACTCTATCGTTCAGCGCAGACTCGGTGCGTCGACATCTCCCGTCGACCCGCGCTTGCTCCTTCGAAATGCACGATAGCATGCTGCAAAAACCAATATCTCTACTTGTAAACGTAAACCTTAGAATCCAAAATAGTTTCGTTAACGTTATTTGGATTAATGGTATATGTCACGAATACGTCATCGCTGCGATATTTGTGTGAGAGTGGTGGGGGGACCGGAACACCTGTAACCAATCTTACCACCGTGCTGTCTATAAATGGTCCTTCCTGGTACAGTATGTGTATAGCGTTGTAGAAACTGACCAGTATGCATTCAGTACTCTGAGTCAAAGGGTAATCCCAAGGTCTTCAACGAAGATGCTCGTATAGTCCATATTCTTGTAAGGAAATGCATCAAATTCTCGAATGCTTTTGGTGCCTTCGGGAAACAAAGCTTTGATTTGCAACATCTCGGCTCTGCCCTCGAATAAAAGAATCTGAAAGTTGATTATGAAAATATAATACTATATTTGTTATGGAATGATTGCAGGTGGGTCCAGATGGATAACTTCCCAAGCGATGATCGGTATAAAAATTGGTAGCTAAAATACACTCATTTCCACAAATATGTTGGTATTTTTCGTGAATTATATTTTCCATTTCGATCCCAAAACCGAAATGCCAAAATCTCATACAAAAACCAATATAAACTTGACCGACCGACCACCTACGCCTGCGATATACAGTACCAACAGCTTTACCTCCGGAGCAACGACGGCAAGCTGTCCTGTGCTATCTTACGCGACGTTTGTTCTGGGTACGGTGTCAATGAATCGACAGGTTGGCGCATATGGAATCCACAAAGGAACTTGGAATGCATGCCGAGACGAAGTCTCGAATCAAAACAAACTCCGGGCGGAAACCAACGCATACTCCGGAAGCGATTGAGGCATTAGTGATGGCCACTCCGATGTACCAACGACAAACATACCGGTCATTGCCAGCCATGACAGGCGTCGCTGTGTTCACTCTGTGGACATTTGTCAAGAACATGTGGATGAACAAACGCTCCAACAGGACCAGGCCACTCCTGACCGACGAGCAAAAGGCAGCTCGCGTTGAATTTTGTCTTCCGGCTAGACTTGCTAGTGGTAACATCATTCAATCAAGAATGTAGTTCATGTAGACGAAAAAATGGTTTTTCACGACGAAACTACGGCGGAAGCTATTTGTGTGGCGTGACGAGACCATAGTTCCAAGAGTGTAGCACTGTAATATAGTCACTATATTTAGATTTGACTTATTTATAATTTGTATGTTTTAGAATATTCACTTGCAATCACTCCATAACAGAGGTAGTATAATTCCCATTTTTTTGTGGAATCAAGAGAGGGTATTTAGACTTTTTCGATTTGTGTTTGATGGAGAAAGGATGTCAGGACAAGTTGATTAGGCTTTCGTGAAACTCTGTTTCGCGAACTGCCTTGTATGCATGCAAAACAATATACAGAATATCACAACATTATAAAGGTTTCACCAACTATTCAATATATTTCGATGAATTACAATGTATTGTGATGAGCAAATGTAGGCTAGCCGACGTACTCATGGTAATTGGACGTTATCACGACAAATGTGGTCCAATCAGAGTTTATCAAGCACCTTGAACCAATATCAGCAATGACATGGCGAACAAGTACATTCGAATTGATAGGCTTACAATATTAATTCGTCCGAGGAGCTTCACAACGCTTTCTTTTTTGATAGGGTCGGTTTTTTTGCACCACGACGTTGACGAATGAGTCGAGCAACCGTCACAACTTTCAGCTGACCAAATCGACGCTGGCGTTCGAGAGGTGTGGTTTAGAGGAGCACATGCAAGCCACGAACGGCGACTTCACACGATTCGACAACGTTGCGTTCCAACTTGCAGGTAGGCCACACTCACAACTCTCCATGAATCGACCTGACAGCTCCACCATGACCAGCTTCCATTCCGAGAGAATTAGCCGCTGCTTCTTGGTGCTGAGGTCGCGCGAGTCAATGGCGTTGTACGGGATTTATTTCAATCGATCGTTGCCAACCAAAGTGCCCACGCTGTCGCTGTGTCGGCCTGGGGGAACTCAAATTCTTGTGGAAGCTTGTGCATTCGACCGCCGCACAAATGCAAGTATGTTACCCGCTGACCTTGTTCGTCATCCAGCAGTGGTTCGTGATCATCTGACTGCTGACCAACACCGAGTCCTTGTAGCGCGTCAACGATGGTTTGCTTGATCAGCACACTAATGATTGCGCCACGCGCCACGTCGTGCTCGTCCAGCATGTCCCGCACTTGGTCGACAATGTTCTTTGGTATGGCATCGATGGAAGATCGTTGGCGCTCGAGAAGTCGGTAGACTTCAATGTACGGTGGGATGCCGGAAGATTGGAGTCGTGGGGTTGTTCCTGACAGCTGGACTTTCAGCGCTTCAAGCATGAGTGGCTGGCGAAAGATGGGGGTGCCAAAGATGAAGTGTTTGGCGGGTAGGTTGTCTACAACATAGGTGAAGTGGTGCACGAGCGAATCCAGTCCATGAGCCAGGATGCCACGCATTGATGCAACCTTGGCAAGTGCTGGGAAAGCGACGTCAAGCGCGGTGACGACCACGTCACTGTTGTTGTCAACAAATGGGGTGGCAGGACTGCAAAGTTGATTTTGGTTCAGTGGCAGCCCAGCAACAACCCGGCCAACAAACTGGTCTCCAGCTCGCTCATAAAGCATGTACCTCTCAAACACGCTGCCAAGCGACCAGCCACAACGAAGACAGGCGCTGACAAATTAAGGGCCACCCGTGCTACCGGAAGACACAAACGTGGCCGC